AACATGTTATTTCAACCCTGTTTAGAGAAACTGCTCTATTTTGGGCAAAAACGCACAGGGTGAAATCCACCTTTGCAGGGGCTGGGACAAGGCCCGTGAAACACATAAACGCTGCATTTAAGGTTAAGGTTTGCATTTAAGGTTTGCAGCCTTATTACAGGGCTGAAATCACGTTGCATAAAGCACTGGTGTCCAGTGCATGAAATGATCTTCATTTGAAAAAGCATCTGTACAAAATAAGAAACAAAAACTCTACAAAGTTTCCAAGTTTTAGAGCATATTGTGCAAAACATCCTGACGAAGTATATCCCTATCATTACAATGATTAAAATGTTGACTTTGTATGAAATAAGTTAAGAACTTATTTGCTTCCAGAGGTCATAAAAAATACAAAACTGAATTACATTTGTTATACACACAGGACCTTAAGTGCACAAGACAAATTCTGTATATTTCCAATCAGTCCAGCTGATAGCTTAGCTTGATATATTGGGGAAGTGTGCTATGTCAAAAGAGATGGGCATGTTCCTATCCTCAGCTAAACAGTAACCCCGACTTCCATAATTTTTACAAGCAAAATATTCAATTCAATATTTTACTTGAAATATGCAACATCCTTTAAATAGTAATTTGCAGTTTGAACAGTCCTTGATGACTCTTGCTCTCATTTTCCCTTTAGATTTATCCAGGTATAGAGACCATATATTCATTCCTTAGTTTTAGTGATGTCATATGGTTTCCACCACTGGGCAAACTGCAACACTTTCTTCCTCTGATCATCAAAGTTCTGTCGAATTCCTTTTCTCCAAAGCCTTGGTTCCAAGTCCAACATGCCACCAATGATTTCCTTTGGAAGTACAACAAAGAGAAAATAATATTTGAATGATTTTATTATTTCAATTAAGGGTCTTTTACCATCAAAATCTAGAAATATATATTCTTTAGACTTCTGAAATCTTTTTCATTAGTGTTTTCTTTGCATATCTTAGTTAAGGAATGAAAAACCTTTAATACTCTAAATACAGTATTTAAAATTTATATTCTGACAATTAAAACTAGAAATGCAAGAACACATCCCAGCTTGTCAGATGGATGACTCAGTCAAGCACCCCTTAAACGCAATATTTAATTGCATTATACAAGTATTATACAGCATATAAATGCATTATTAGCTTTATAACTTAGGCAGGAAACAAACATACATCCAACTATCTCCAAAATCATATTATTCCCCAAGTCACCTTATCTGTTTTCTCAATATTGATTCTTCCAGAAATTATTGCTATGGGTTAATAAAGGCAGCTCTTGGTGCAATTCATACTTTAGGTGGTAAATTTTCAGTACAATATGCAGGGATGTAATAACATTTCTCCCAGTAATATTTGCAGCTGTGTGAGGGAGAAATAGTGTTTATGGGAAAACTTTAATTATTTTTATTTCTTGAATGTTATTCAGTCTCAAGAAGTTTTAATGTATTTTTTCTCTACCAGGATGAAACTTTCAAAGAAATTCTGATTTAAAAAATACAACGACTATGGCACTATCCTTGTTCACAAGCAAAATAAACAAACGTGAAGATAAAAACATTGTATTTGTTGTGAATACACTAATGGATGATTGGTTGGGTGGTTGCTAAGCTTTTTAGCTATGTTCATAGAAGTGTGGATTGAACACTCCAAAAACTGGTAACGTATCATCAAGATGCTTACACCTGGACAAGTCCACATCAGCTTCCTCAAATGTATTCTAATGTCATAAACTTTTGGGCTAGGGACAGACATTCAAAAAGTCTGAGCCTGAATTGAGTCAATCTTTGCAGGTTAGTCTAACCTGGCTAGGCTGAATCAGTTTGTAACTGCCTAGACATCCCCTCTGGACTGAAACAAATGCAGCCACATGCCTGCAGTGGCTCAAGCTAGAAGCCAGGGGATGCTAGAGCAGCCCTCCCTCTCTTCCACTGCTGAGCTAAGGGAGGGGTGGCCAGGACCTGGCAGGACAGAGCACTTATCAACTCTGTTACCAGCATTTAGCACCCTATCTGAAAACAAAGCCTTGCTCATTAGTTCAAGCTCTTCTTAAAAAGCTTTTTCCAAAGAAAGGAATGCAGGGACATTACCAGCTGACCTGCTGATTAGCTCCAAAAAGCCCTAAGCAGACACTGTCCTATCTGCCTTATACAGATGCATCTCAGCATTAGGTAGCATAACACATGCTGGCTACAATCCATGCTGTGGGAGAGAGGAAGAAGGGATCCCTGCTTAAGCAGCGAATGGTGAGGAGGAGTTGAGAGGGGGGCATGGGGAAGCCAGCAGACCCTAACGTGCCTGCAAATCTCTGCTGGAGCTCCAGCCAGGTAGCAGAGGGGAGGGGCCAGCCCTGCTGTGGAGCAGAGAACCCTGCCCAGCCCAGAGAGCATGCTGGGATGCTGGGGGAATCTGATTTAACTTAAAACAGCAAGGGGTCTGGGACAGACATTGCATAAACCGGTTTGAGCCAAATCAGTTGTCTGATATTACATTCAACCAGGTACATCACAAACCAATTTCAGCCATTTTCAAACTTGTTTATATGCACTGAACATCTGTTCTGTTACAGGTTTAAACCAGTTTCTAATCACTTAAACAGGTTTGTATGTAATGTCTGTCCCTAGCCTTGATGTTTTGGGAAGTCAGAGACCTACAGTCCCTGCAGCATGCAAACAGTGAATACTTTGTTAACATTTTGAGGGTATGATTTTGCCCCAAAATAGATGCTAGCTAAAAATGACCTAACAAACTTGATTCAGACCTGATTTATCCAAAGGACTTGAAGAGAGGCACAGTAACTAAAGGCTGCAAAAGATAAGAAGTAAGGTATTCACGCTGTAGTCATATTAGTCTAGAGCAGCAGCTCCCAACCTCAGGTCGCAACCCAAATGAGTGACGGGGGCAGTGCCGGTGGTGCCACACACAAAAGATGAACCGCACCCCGTGCTGGGAGCTCCCCTGCCCCTGGGCCACTGCTGCACTCTATTCCCAGGAGTAGGTTGCGGCACAAAATGGTTGGAAACCACTGGTTTAGAGGAAACAGCAATCTGGGCTCATGGTAGAGGTGATATCGTTTATTTGATCAACAACATTTTTGCAAAAAAATGACTTTAATTGCAAGCTTTCGGACACAAGCACCCTTCATCGGGCACTGGAGAAAAGATTGAAAACATTCTCCTGGGTTGTAATGAAAGTTCATATTTCGTAGGATTTCACAGAGGAGTCAACAGATGGAAAATTCCTCTGGGCAGGCAGGTCTTAGCTGTTAAAGAGTCTCTCACCTCTACCATGAGCTGAGATTGCTTTTTCCTCTAGACCAATATGGCTACAACCTGGATACCTGATACACGGAAGATATAAAATTTTAGCTAATTTTTTTAATGAAATCCTCATATTTTCCCAAGGAGGAAGCAAATGTGACCACCTGAACCCTGAGATACTGCTCCTGCTTTTGTTCAAGCTAATTTGCATCATCACAGGGCCTCACAAGAGAGGTGAGAGACTCTTTAACAACTAAGAGCTGCCTGCCCAGAGGAACTTTCCAGCTATTGACTCCTCTGTGAAATCCTATGAAATAAGAACTTTCATTTCAACCCAGAAGAACTTTTACAATCTTTTCTCCAATGCCTGATGAAGGGTGTTTGTGCCCGAAAGCTTGCAATTAAAGAATTTTTTTTGCAAAAATTGTGTTGGTCTAATAAAAGATACTACCAATACCACGAACCCAGAAAGATAAGAAGTATAAGGCTAGAAAGCCTCATCATTTGAGTGATGAGGCCAAAAGCCTAATATTTAAGGAAGCTTGATATTCAAAAACCTCAAAGGCTTATGACCTCAGAGAGAAGAGATCATGAAATTAATAGAAAGTCACTGCCAACCTCCTACCAGTCTCCTCCTGCACCCAATGGAAGACTCTTAGCAAGATGAGATGTGTCACACTGCAATCTGAATAATGGCAACTCCAATTCCTGAGTTACAGGAGTCCAGAAGTTGGTTCCCTAGTTATCTGTTTTTATCCTTTTTTCTATTTTTTGTCTTGCCTGAAAGTGCAATTATTTGCATGCTTCTGGGCCTCAACAACTGCAAAAGTCCACACGAGGAAGGTGCCATAAAAAGATAACTGGGTTTAAAACGAGCTCTAAACACAGTTTCAACAATATTTAAAGTACATTTTATACTCTTGAGTTTTCAAACCCCCAAGAAATGTTAATTTCTGTATGTAAATGTTTAATATATTGAATGGATCACTGGTGATAAAATTATTCTGTTAGAATCTATATTATAAGTATTTAGAGAAACATGGGGAAGAAAGGATTAGCCACCATAACAGAACTGATCTCTAATGAGGAAGCTTTGAAATAGTCTCTAAAGTTGTACTTTCAGAAATGACAATAATTCAATAACAAAGTTGTTTTCATCTCAAAATATTTATCCAGATCAAAGTTAGTTTTCACAGACCCAGGTGAAATTATTTGGGAGTTACAATCAAGTGTGCATCTACCTCCTTAGACACCTTCTTCCTATCCAGGAAGACTGATTTTTGTTGTGTTGACTTAATGGTTTAATTCATTTGTTTCCAATTCAATACTGAGACATACTTGCTTTGATTTGATCTGATCCTGATAGATGCACAGATGCTTGATAAATGCTTTACTCTTAGTTGTACTGATTATAATTACCCACAGTTTAGTTTTGGTGGTAGGATCTCAGATTTTATTTTTTGAATAGCTTTAATAAAATTTATAAAATTAATGCCAAGGTCCCTTTGTTTCAATAAAGAACTGTAGGTTCAGATGAGCTAAGAACCAGGCTGAATATCAATCAGGTAGGATAAAAGCTTAACCAATTCCCCTTACGAAGAATTTGCTTCTGAGATGGCTTTAAAATACAAGTCCACTATACAGAAATTCAATTGTCATCTCATACATTTTAATTAAGTAGTTCAAATAACTCAATTTTGATCATTACAAATTTAACTGTTTCTAAAATATCCATATACAAATTAAAAAGATTTGCGCTTTGTTATGTACACTTCAATACCTTTCCAAAATAATGAGGGAACTTGTGTCGATCTTCGATGACATGAGCAAAACCTCCTTGAAGACCAAAGTCCACAGAAAAATACGGTAAACCCTTAGGAACCTAAACAAGTTAAAAAAAAAAGAAGCATTTTAGATTGTTTTCTAGAATTCAGTTACAGGAAACTTCAATGTTTAATTTACTTTCTTCACAATGTATTAAAAATGAAATTCAGTTTCAAGTCGGTGGTTACCATTAAGGTAGGCAAGGTTCTTTGATATCTTTCATCAGACCAACTGAGTAGTTGGAAAAAAGTTCTTTGCAACTTTCAGGCACAATCACCATTCTTCAGGCATAGGGAGTCTTTGCTGTTCTGAGACTCCAAGGAACTGCAAAGACTTCCTATGCCTGACAAAGAGTGATTGTGCCCAAAAGCTTGCAAAGAACTTTTTTTTACAACTACTCAGTTGGTCTAATAAAAGATCTACCCAAAGAACCTTGCCTGCCTATGTCCTTAGACCAACATGGCTACAACCAACAACAATGGCCACAATTAACATAGCAGAAGTTTAGTTAAGTGAACATAAATGTACACTTATGTAATTGGAGGGTCCAGGGCCCTACATTTCACTGCATCTTTCCTCCATACTCCACTGCAACCTATGCTTATAATTATATAATGCAGTAGAAAAATTAAAACATAAAGGTCAGAGGGGAAAGGAACAAGGCACAGAAAATGGAAAAAGAGATTTCTGAAAACTAAATGGAAATTTTAAGTAGCGGAGGGATTCAGAAAGAGTAAATGCTAGATGGTGGGATCTGCAGAGAAGATTGCAATCGCATCAAATACAATGAAACTCAGACCAGAGGGAAAGGCAACAGCTGCTAAACAGAGATTTACAAGAAGGAATAATCTCTCCTACCATATTTCTTCTTATCTGACGTTTTGTAGATAGGAGGATGCGTCAAATGAATGGAAATGTAAGAAGAGGAACTTCACGGTGAAATTATTTTAAGAAAGAGGCAAAAGTAAAATGCAGGAAAGACAAATGTCCCAGATTTAACAAGTGTTGCATCCTTACTTGGAGGAAATTTTAATGGCAAGGAAAAACCCCACTAAAAGTGGATTCGTAGAAGTTTTGAATTAACTTGTTGATAGAGAATTTCATAATTCAGTGAGCTCGCTATAAAGAGAGTGGACATCATGCCAGGAATTAGAGCATTTTCATTCTGAAAAAGTACCTTGGAATGGATACGTTTGCTGCTACAGTATTGCAAGCTGATTTCTTCTGCCTCGTGGCAACAACCTATATTTCATTCTCCTGATAACTGAGCATGTTCCTGAATGGCTGCTAATAGCTATTGTGCTTCACACTCAAGGCAGTGTCTCTGTGACATTTCAAAAGTTTTTTCTCCCGTGAGTGGTGTTTTATAAGCTGCTTTAAAAAAGTGATTAAAATAAATCAGAAATCTGATGGCAAACACTGCTTAGTTAATTTTGGAACACGTACCACTTATAGGAGAACATTTTAAAACTTAAGC